GCGTCATCTGGCGTCATCTATTGACAAGTTATACACCGCAGCCGTTTTAGTCTACACACGCTATGTCATGCGACCCAAAATGGGTCAGGGATCGTGAAAAAGAGACTCGACCCAAGCCAGGTTAGGTCGCTTCACAACGATTTACACCGTCCTGACGTATCGTGTTTAGGTGAAATATAAGATATAGGTCGCGGACTAAGCGTGCGGTGTAAACGTGGCCACTGTTTCTTAAACAAAAATTCAACTGTATAATATTTATAGTGCTCTTGTGATGTTCCAAAACGCAACAAAGCGGCATGCATATCTTGCCATAATTATTCTATCATATATCTTGCATCAATCAATAGTCCTACTACTCTTGTCAGAGCGTAGTGACCTCGTCTCGTATTTCTGCGATGTGCGCTATTTACACTTTTACGCAGATATACGGGACCTACATTTTAACGCCGATTTCGAACGGCCATTTTTTAAGAAGAGGTTCTCTTTGGCGATACTCTCAGTGGTTTGCCATTGCCTTCCGAGAGGCGGCTTCCGAATTGATTAAAATCAATTTCAGAGTTATATTATTCTGGGTGGATTTGAAACCCGGATCTTTAGCTTATAAAGCTGCCGCGCTGCTCCTCGCGCCACAATCGCCACAAATATATTGAAATATATCGTGCGAAAAAAGCTAATGAACTTATGGTACTTGGAGATTCGGGATCTCCACACTTATACAAATCATCAACATTGCATGTAGCAAAAAATGAATTTAAAAAATTGCAATTTTTTGACTCCGATCGTCTAAAAGTCTTATGTATTATAAGACACAATGTTTATGCTAATAGCATTCATAATATTGTATGATGCAAAATCTATTTTTTCGTGATTAGCTTAAGTCTTGCTTAATATATGCAAAAAGTTTATAAACAAATTAGATCTTTTCTAAATTCAAATTTTTTGAGAACGTGTCAATCTCATCAATTTGCTCTCATATATGAGCAAAATGACTTTTTATTGTAGTCAAGATAAAACAATTGAAAATAAATATATGCACTGAGAAAAAAATTGGTTGTATGAAATAAATTTGTATAGTTCGGTCTAATATGCTTGATTCAACAATTATTTAGCTACACAAAGTAAAGTATAATTTATTCTTGTTAATCATCAAAATTTTTTAACATTTATTTTGTATTAACATAGTAATGTTTAATTTTATATGTATCTAAATATTTTTAAAACTTAACAAAATTTTTTCTTAGTGTAGGTACTAGTCGAATTATTCAATTAATTTACAGTTTTGAGAAGTTGTACTGATGTAGGAGTGGTTTTCAAGGGTTGAGGGTGGAGCAACAAAATCGGATTTGTTGCAAATCGCGAGCAACAAAATCGGGGAAACGTAATCTATCGAGATATTCGATTAATTTGCCATTTTGAGATGTGCTGATGGTAGGGTAGTTAGAGGTGGAGCAACAATATCAGAAATTGAGCATCAAATTAGCACTAAAAAAATTAATATTATTTTTTTATTTTTTATTATTTTTTTTAATGGCTGTGCTAACTTTAATCTTAAGTTAGCACAGCCATTGTTTTCTACGAATCGGCTGGAGCATCAAAATCGGGAATTGAGCATCAAATTAGCATCAAAAGAACACTAAATTTTTGTATATGTTTTATTCGATTATGCTAAAGTGTCAGCTTAATAGACGTGAGTGGAGAAGAGTGAAAGAGGGGGAAAGAATGAGGAGAGAAAATAGAGAAGAGTGAAGGAGGTGAGAACATCGTGAATAATCTGCAGGTGGAAAGAAAAGATTAGAGTTGAAAACGAAGAAGGTGGTGGAAGGAGCACGGAATAAGAGTAGAGAGGTGTGACGGAGAGTGGGAAAGGAGCGGCGGAGAGGAAGTAGAGCACGGCAACATTAGTGGCGCTGCGGCGCTACGGCATAGAGAAGGAATAGAATAGAGGGATAACGTGAAGCAAAAGACGGAAGAAGCGCAACAAAGAGAATTTGGAAATAAATGGAAAGAGAAAAGGAGGAGGAAGGAAGAAAAATAGTGAGAAGAATAGTACAGAAGTAGGAAAGAATATAGGAGAAGAGGAAGAGAAGAATAAAATAGAGACGGAAAAGAAAATGGGGAAAGCGGGAGAGAAGAGTAAAACGGAAGCAGAAAAGAGAATAAGGGAAGAGAGAATGAGAAGAGGAAATATAGGAACAATTGAAGAGATATGGAAGAGAAAGAGAGAGAAAGAGGGATAGCATAGAGTTAGCGGAAAAAAATAGAAAGATGGAGATGGCAACTCCGAGTAGGGAGGAGGATACGATTACAGAAATGTTGAAGGAGATAAGAAAAGAGATGAAGAAGTTAAGAAGACAAGGACCAAGAACGGAGGAGACAATATAAAACAGGAGGTGGGAAGAGTAAGAGACGAATTGAAAGAAAGGGAAAGGAGATGAAAGGCGGAGAGAAGAGATGGAAGAAAAACTGAGAAAGGTAGAATCAAAAATGAAAGAGCAGGAAAGGTGGGGAATAAAGATGGAAATGTTGGAAAAGAAAATGGATGGGTCAAGTCAGAGAGAAAAAGGACAAAGTGGGGAAAAGGAAGAGAGACTGAGCATTGAAAAGAAGATGGAATTAAAGAAAAGAGCAGAAAGAAGAAAGAACATCGTAAGGGGGTTAAAGAAAAAGAAGGAGAATGTAAGGAAAGATGTAGAGGATTTGTTGAGGGAAGTGATGGGGCTAGAGATAAACGTGGAAGAAGTATGGGAAATTGGAAAAAACATAAAGAAAGAGAAAGGAATGGCAGTAGTTAAACTGAGAAGTATGAAGGAAAAAAGGAAGGTGATGAAGAAGAAAATAAAGTTGAAAGGGAGAAAGAGGATCGAAGATAACATGACCTGGAGAAAAAGGAAAATGCAATTCGAGCTAAGGTACATAGCGGAGGAAAAAAAAAAGGAAAGTGGAGGTAAAGTATGTAAGGTAAGTAGGTAAAAATACATAAATATAGAGAGGAAATGGTGGAAATGGGACGAAGAAAAAGAGAAACTAATATCCGTAAGGAAGAAAGCTGGGATGGAGAAGAGAGAGGGGGAAGGACAATAGGGGCAAAGAAGGAGGGGGAGAAGAGAGACGGTAGAGGAGGGGGGAAAGGGAGAGAGGCGAGGAGGAAGAGGCTGTAGGAAGAAAAGAGCGAAGAAAGAAAGAAGGATAGAAGATGACGTTTTGGAATGTGATAGGACTGGCAGGGAAGGATGAGGAATTTTGGAGGAAGCTAGAGAAATGAGATATAATAGGATTAACGGAGACATGGGTGGAAGGAAAGAAATGGAAGCAAATTCAGAAGAGACTATCAAAAGGTTTTAGATGGAGATGTAACCTGCAAAAAGAAAGAATAAGAAAGGGAGAGTAATGGGAGACATAATAACCGCAGTTAAGGAAGAGATAGAAGAAAGGAGAGAGGAAGGAGAAGAGGGAGAGATTGATAGAATAGTGAAAAGATCAGTAAAAATAGAGGGAAAAAATGGGTAAAGATATATAACAACGGGGACGTGAAAGAAAAATTAGGAAGAATGAAGGAAGAGTGGGGAGAGATTGAGAAGAATAGAGAGTGCCTACTAGGAAGGAATTTTAATGCGAGAACGGAAGAGGAAGGAGAAATAGTGGGATGGGAGGAGGAGGAAAAAAGAAGAAAGTCGAAGGACAAGAAAATAAATAAACAGGGAAGACATTTGTTAGAAGAGATAGAAGAGGAATAAGATGAATGGAGTGAAGAAAGGAGATAAGGAGGCAGAACTAACATATATAGGAGATGCAAGGAAATCAGTAATAGATTATATAATAGGGAACAGAGAAGCATAAGAAGAAGTAGAGATGATTAAAGTGAGGAAGAGAGTGTAGTCGGACCATCAACCAATAACAGTAGCAACTAAAAGAGAAGCCAGGGTAATAGAGAAGCAAGGAAAGAAATTGATAAGGATACTGGATTGGTCGGTAATAGAGAAGCAAAGAAGGAAATTGATAAAAATACTGGATTGGTCGGAAAAGGGAAGAAAAGAATACGAAGAAAGAATAGGTAGAGAAAGCATGGAGGGTGAGGAAGCGGAAGATTTGAGTAGAGAAATAGAAAGGGCAGTAAAGAAGGCAGTTTGCTGGAAAGAGAAAAGAAAAGGGAAAGGAAGTTGGAATAGATCATAGTAATGGGACAAAGAGTGTATGGAGAAACCAATGTTATCATCTTATGTCCCGACATCTTGTATATATACAGGGTGTCACATTTTATATTTGACAGTCAAATATTTGGAAATCGCAAGATTTGGGAGAAAAAATGTTTCAGACAAAAGTTGTAGGGTTTCGAGGAGGACATATCAATCGATCTAGTCGGCGCTTTATGACTGAAGAACATGATCTCTATGTTGACGAGGTTGTAAGGTGGTGTACATCGGAAGAGCACACGTC